GTTTATTTTCCTATGAAATGTGGAGGATAGGAAGAATTCCTCCATAGAAATAGGATTTCATTCCTACAAACCAAAGTTCACACCATAGGATTTTTTCCACTGAGTCTAGGCTAATGTTTATTTTCCTATGAAATGTGGAGGATAGGAAGAATTACTCCATAGAAATAGGATTTCATTCCTACAAACCAAAGTTCACACCATAGGATTTTTTCCACTGAGTCTAGGCTAATGTTTATTTTCCTATGAAATGTGGAGGATAGGAAGAATTCCTCCATAGAAATAGGATTTCATTCCTACAAACCAAAGTTCACACCATAGGATTTTTTTCACTGATTCTAGGCTAATGTTTATTTTCCTATGAAATGTGGAGGATAGGAAGAATTCCTTCATAGAAATAGGATTTCATTCCTACAAATCAAAGAGCTCTGAAGGAATTTTTTTCTATAGAAATCCTATCCTATGAAAATCCTACATAATTCCTCCAACCCAAAGGAGGCCTAGTGTTCGAAACGAAAGAAAATGATTCCTTCATTTTTCAATCACCGCCGCGACCAGAGATCACTTCCCATTATTATAAACAAACAAAAACAAAAAAAAACACGTGCACACACAGGAAGCAGCAGGATCGGGGGCCTCCTTTTCATTCGAAAGGGTTTAAAAACAAAAAAATTAAGACCAATGTAGCCCGATGCGGCCACCCGCGGGTCATGTCATCGGGCGCCACACTCGCGGGTGGTCGCATCCCTTCTTTCCAGCAACGGCCACCAGACGTCGTTGTCACATCGCGTGACGCTCCGATGCGGGAGGCAAAGCGGCCACGGGCCAGATCAGTGGTTCATGTATGAATTTGCAAGACATGCGGCCACTCGCAGTTCCTACATTTTTCATATTCTTGTTTTCTTTACTATCATGTGTTTGAACCGGGGAATGAAAGATTCTACTCCCTGCGTACAATAATATAAGATCATTTTTCAAGCTAGGTCAGCTTAAGAAACATTTTTTTTGGCTGAATAAGTCGTTTGGTTTGCTATCCCACCCAACATCGTCGTCACCCGCCAATCACCGCCGTCCACAGCCAATCCCACCACCCCGTGGTCGGCGTCGTAGCTGCACCGCCTCCTCTGCCGATGCCCCGACTGTCCCTCTGCCCCCCTCCTCACAGATACTCAACACGCCCGGACGTCTCGGTGCTCTAAAGGGATTTTTCTCCAAACGACTGAAGAATAGCAAACATGAATCATTAGGTTTCACAAAAGAAACATTTCATTTATCACGTGAATTTCAGGCACAAATGCGAATTTCATTAGGCTTCGTGCAAAAAAAACTTTAATTTCTCACATGAAGCAGAAAACATATTCACAACTGGTCACAAGTATCAAGATGCAGCGGAATGCAGGATGCTACATGAGTTTCAATTCTAGAATGACTTTCAAGAATTTCAAGAGCAAACGTGAAGTTCATTAGGTTTCATGCAAAACCATTTTGCTTCTAGCAGGAAACAGAAAAACATATTCATAACTGGTCACAGCAATTCAAGATGCAGCTTATCAACAGCTCGGCCGAATGCAGAATGCTCCATGAGAGAACACAATTCTTTCTCAGTTACAAAGTCAAAACAGCGCAAAACTCCATGGAAGAAGATTGGTCCGGAGCAAACTGCGCAGTGGAGTTCTCACCTCACCACCTCAAACATCTACACAGAGATAAAGCAATCATGTATACCAGCAGCTTTGCAATTACATATATAGAAGCATGGCACAAAATGGGGACTTGTTTATTTTCTCTCTATCATCATCACTCAGCACCGAAAAACCCTCCCCATATCCATCTAAATATATATATTATCCTCCCATGGATTTTCCACGTCAACAAGCAATAATACAACACCACGACAGTACCGCCTCCACGCCGAGACCAGAGGGGGCAGGACAGTGTGAGACTCCTCCTGCTGTTACTCTGGCAGTATACTCATCATATCAACTCTCGTCAGGCCGCATAACTAGGGGAGCTAATTCACAAGGATATATACACCGGTGTTTCTATCTGTCCAGCAGCCAGTTGAGGACCGTCTTTTTTGGGACGACTCCGTCGGCGTCTTCTTTCTCCAGTTTCACGGAGGTATTTACAGCGTTGCGGATCACGGAGTTGAGGTGCATCCTCAGCTGCGCGTTGTCGATGAGCAGGTCAGATAACATCTTTGTTGTCTCTTCATCGGTGAGGCTTGAGTCTTCGCTGCCCATGGTAATTGAGGATTTACCATCGGAATTTTCGCCATCATCGGAAGAGCCCCCCTGTTCGTCATCCAGTGCTAGATGCTGAGCCTACAGACATCAACGTAAAGCAAGGATTTTCCCCACATTTTAAATCAGTAGGAAAGATAGTAAGTACGTACATTAAGATATTGAGATTGATTGCGCATGTTCCAGACTGTACTAATTAGCAGACAGGTAACACATTCATGATCAAAACTTGGAACGAGGGAAGTCTAGCTACAGTACTTTCAAGTTAAAAGAAATGCTATTTCAATGACGGCTGCAGCTCCGAACCAAAAATGATCTGTAAGTAAAGTCTTTCTAATACAAAAGCAGGACTCCAATGGTCCAAGTTCTCAACTGGAACTCGAGCTCCAATTTACGACTTTGGCTTCTATACGACAAGCTAGAGCTGGAGTTTGACAAAGCAGGCCTTCATGTCAAATGAAAACAGCCTACCAGAAGAAGAAAATTTACCTGAGCAACAAGAAGGCGTATTCTATTGTCAGACGTCGCCAGAAGGTCTAGTGCATCAGGCAAAGATGATGGGTCAACAGGCAAGTTATCTTGTTCTTCTGCAAGAAATTTAGCACTACATTCTTGTAGACGCTCACGGAGCAGTCGGCATTCATGAAGCATTTTTTCACGGGATGACTTCACACGTGCTGACCGCTGCTTCTCTCTATTAATAATCCTCTGAACAAATGGAAAATAACTAAAAATTAGAGAGAGAGAAACACTGATCACATACAAGTAGGATACTGTTAAGGAAACATTGATGAGTTGGCATATAAATAATTGGTTTAAAGGTGTAAACAGGCATAACAGGGTTAATCTGGTGGCAGCAAGCCTCTACCGATGTTAAATATTGCTATTGTTGCAATTCTCAAAGGAGGAATGGATTATAATTTTACGAGTACCTCTAGTTCAGTCTTCTCCTCAACATACTGATTCAGCACTTTCTTCATCTCTCTTTGAGAATTCCTAAGGGACTTGACTTCTTTAACAAGAACCTTCATATCTGTTTTAGACTTTGCCTCAACTTCTCCAAGCTGCCGTTGCAAACTCTCAACTTCTTTTCGTTTCGTTTCAAGTTCTTCGGCTAACTCTTCTCTATTACCACTGGCGGTTGCTTTCTCTGACTCCACACGAGTTTTCTCATCCTGTAAGTAAATAGAGGAAGATAATCAGAATCCTCATAATATGATGAATTAAGAAATGCTAAGGCACAGGAACAGTGAAAAAACTGACTTGTTCCGCCTTCAGGTTTGACTCCATCTCAGAGTACTTCCTGCGAAGCTCATCCATATCCCATTGCATCTGGGTAATCCTCTCTCTTTCAGCTAAGATAGCTTGATGTAATGTGTCTCTGCCTTTTTGCTTTGTAGCTTCCAACTCACCCTCCAAGTCTTTTACCTGCATCAGAAGTCATCAGTGGAAGGAAAGTACCTAGAAGCCACATAATAACTATACGAGGCCCAAGAAAGTCCACTGAATGCCAATGAAAAACGCATAAAAGCAACAAAAGACACTTGGCCTAATCCTGTAATACCAAGAGCCTGATTTACACTAAAGCATATAAGTTAAATATCAGATAAAAAGTGATACCTTTGTGGAAAGATAATCTTTGACTGCTACTTCCTGATTTAGGCGTGCTATGAGATCCTCCATATCAGTTTTTGCTGTCCCGATTCTTCTTTGCATGGTTACCAAAAGTCTACTCAACTTCTGTCTTTGATCAGTTGGAAGGATGACTTGGGCATCCATATCATACAAAAACTGCATATCTACACCAGCAAGACTTTCTGTTTGACTATGTCCATCCACACCACTTGGGACATCCACAGGACCATCCCATAGGGAACTACTAGCCCCTGGAGTTGACAATTCACTTCCTCTTAAAGAACTCAAATCACTGCCTAAACTTTCAGAAGAATCCTTCCGAGCATGACCAGGGTTAGAATCACAATCCTCTTCAGAAACTACTCCCTTGGAAGACTCTACTGAACCATTCCTTCCATCATGTTCCGAAAAGACAAGACCCTGTTTCCTGCTTTTTGACACACTACCAGCATGCTGATCAGACTGACCTGATATAGATTCTCCCAGCACACCGTTACCAGTTACTCCTGTCAGACTGATGCTACGAACAAGTACCGGGTTTATTTGACTGGGCTCAGAGAGAGCACCTGAACCAGGATCATCAGAATGACGAGAAGAGTCTGTACTGCTTTTTACTGAAGTACCTGCTTCGGGGGGACGCTGATTCCAATCTTGGAAATCTGAATTCAGTAAAATGGAAGAATTCAATTGTCGATTATGATATTCAGCACGCACAATCAAGACATGGATCAATGCATACACAGAAAAAAAACTTCAATATGGACCAATGCACATACATGAGCGTGCGGCGGCTTCAAGTTCAAGAAAAGCAGCAACATGAGCACTTCTTGATAAGTCAATATCAGAAAGTAGCTTTTGCATCCACTCCTCCAAAGTATTCCTTCTCTGCAACCAAAACATTTTTAGAACCACAAGTTCAAAAGGCAAAGCACAACAGAATGTAGCAATTAACAATGGGTACAGCTAACCTCTTCTAGAAGCAACCTGCTTGAATTTATTCTTAAGAAGGCATGTTTCGGTGGAGCAGGGGGGATGTCTTTTCTGGGAAAAGCACGCTTAAGCTGAAATATGGGAGAATTGTAGCATGATGAGTGATGATATAAACAAAATCTTGCATTATAGCATTACAAAGCACATAGTCATCCTTTCTTCTATCAGGAACACATCAAATATGGAAATATGCCATACAATTGTTATACTCAAGAAATATGCATGCACTTGAAAGCAAATGACACTGCACCAACTATCTGAATGCACATTGTGTGGGTGAGAAGCGAGAGTACACTCATAAAATCACAAAATGCACTCCACGGCTTTAACATGTAAGACATGTGAAACAATAACATAGCAACAGTTGTATTAACTTACATCAGAGCACAACTTTAGAAAGTCACTAAACCTTCGAAGAACTCCATGGCTAGAGCTAACGCCTTCTGGTGATTGTATACCAACATGTATCCTGTAAAACTGTCCTTTATGGGCATTAAAGAAAGGTCATGGAAAAACAGGAACATTTAGATGAAGCAAGACCACAAGCAAATTTGTGTCCTAAGCCTATGAGGCCAAAAAATAGAACAATGTGACATGCAAGATATCATCTACAACTTGGAATTCTTAAATTTAAGTCCATGTCTCCATGATATACTAAATTTTATTAATACATGCACATGATATGAACTTAGATAGCCCTTAAGTAAAACTTCGATATAGGCTTGATAAATGCCAAACCATTTTTGTCTTTTTATTGATCTGTCGAAATTTTATCACTTGTATTTCCAACTAGCTCATTTTGTTATAGCACGAAGTTTTAATACTGGTGACGTGTCAATTACTATCTGCAGACATGTAACAAAATTGATTGACTAAACTCCTGGACCGACATAAGTGAGAAAAACAAGAGGGTAAAAGATAAACGATACTCACAACTATAGATTTCAAGAAGTTGTCAGAGGCTACACCGGCTTCGGGTGTTTGAGCAATCCAAGAAGGTATAGTCACACAGTAACTCCAGCCTGTTTGAGGGTTATGTGGCCATACGGTGTTCCTTCCCTCCTGCGTGCAGGCAATAAATATGAGCTTGTAAGAAGACTCAGATAATGTACAGAGCATTCTGTTGGTAACACCCTCATCTTTGCGACGGAACCTGTTCTAAAAAATAATTCACTCTTCATGCAACTTCCTAATTGCGTACGCACTACTAAATTTTGCTAATTAAACAAAATATCCGCTTGGTTGTGCATAGCAGTTAATTTCTTTCCTTTTTGGGTGGGAACAAATTCAATGCATGGGATTAGGCAAAAAAAATATGCAGCAACCATACTGCATGGTGCGTTACTGCAGAGGATCGCAACCCCTAGTAATAAGGGTCAGGGATTCTCAGTGTATTAACCAAGGTGTTTTTGAGTACAAAGGCGTTATTCAGTTGGTTGTGTAAGACCATTTCTGGCGAATGCACGGTAAGGATGTCTGTCGCTCAAACAGGGGTACAGGCATGATCAGCACACAACATAGGCAGGCCTAAGAGGTCAATTCAATAGCACGCTCGGAATAATAAAAGAAGGACCAAACCTACATCTACCATGAGATGAATTAACCTAGTTATGCACTCAAATGCAACTATCAGACATAGGCTCGGCAGGCGAAGCTACAGCCCACTCAGGCCGATAAAATTCATAAGCCCAACAGGCTGGTAAAATTCGTAAACCCAACTTGTTGATATTCAGAAGTCTGGACCCTAGCCTGGGGCAAGCTCCAAATCACTAGTCACTGAATCAGTAACCGCAGGCAACTTGGCAACACTTAATTCGCAAAATCCCAATGCAGATAGATCCTATCCCCAACATTAAATACATCGGCGGACTTAACTAGCTGCTGCCGCGGACCGCACATACGCAACGAAATCGAGCTGAAACCCTGCTCGCCGCCCGCTCGGGCGATCGGGTGGAGAGCAACGAAAGTAGAAGCAATCCAGCAGCGGAATCGAACAAATCTGACGCTCGCGGCGCAGGATCAGAAGCACCCGGCGCCACCGGGCCGGCCGGCGCGGCGTCGGCCCACGGACGGATCAGAGCGCGGGCGGGATCGAGGCGGGAGGGGGGAGGGGGATCGCGGGAGCTGCTTACCCATCGCTTGGGGGGCGGGCTCCAGTCCATGCCGAGCGGCAGCGGCGAGGTGCCGTCGTGGCGGTGCTTCGGGGGGCGGCC